GGGGCAACCACGTGTCCTGCCTCCCCACCACAGCTGGACAGAATGGATATACTTTGAGGATTTCTCCAGAACAGATGTGTTGAGCTCCCCCCCCGCCTTACAATTTAGAAACAGGTTTGTAAACATGGCTAAGGAAGCTACTCAGCCTAGGCAGGATTCTCTTTTTCAAGCACTTCCTATTCATTTCTCCCAAACTGGGTCTTTCCAAAGCCTGCTTTCCGTCCTGCCGGCCTTCCTCCCCCCGGAAGTCCACAAGCAGCAGCCTCTTCCCAAAGCCCCTCCGCGGCGGCTTGGCTCAGACCACCGGGGTACCACGAGCCCTTCCGGATCAGTCCGCTTCCCAATTAAGGGTCCAATATTTAAAGAACCAGGGTCATCTTCACGACAAGCCCAGCTTTGGGGAAATTTTGATTTGAAAAGTGGCCCCAAGGGTGGGCAATTGAATGAGGCAGGCTTCCAGTCAAGGTGGAATTCAAAGGAAGCCAGAAAATCTATCAGAGGGGCAGCCCAGGAACACCCCCTCCTCTCCCAAGGACCGGGCCATGTGGATCGAGCAGCTGCGTGGACCACCTTGCCCTTGATGGGCCCGCCCCAAAAGAGCCGCTGGCAGACCCAAGCAGTGAGAGATGCAGGGCACCAAAAGAGCAAAATCTAAGGCCAAACAGGCCGCGGTGGGTGGGGAGGGGGGCACAGGGCAACTCCAGAAAGAGCCACAGCTCAGGCAGGAATGTTTTACGATGCCACGGAGACCGCTGTGGCTCAATGCTTGAGGCCCCACGACTCCTGTGCATCTGTTGGCCATTCGCTGGAGTCCTGGGCCTTGAAGAGGGCATTTCCTCAAAATAATTTACACCTCCCAATTTATGCTTTCTGCAAACAAGCACATACATATCCTGAAGCACACTTCCAGGGAAGCAGAGCCAACTGAAATCCTTGGAATTCATTTGCAAATAGATGTGTCCAGATGCAACTGCTCCCCCCAGCAATACCCAAGGAGCACCAGAACGAAACAGGGTCCAAGGTCTCAAGGAAAGGGGGAGTGCACAATCCGTGCCCCCAGTCTCAAACGGCTGCCTTTCTCCATTGGATTGACCCTCAGCTAATTTGCCTGTACCAGGTACGGTATGGCCAGACCCCAGAAGGAAAACGCACAGCTGCAAGTGGCCGTGGCGAGAAACGTGGCGCTCTCTCCACTTCGGCAACAGCCAACATTCTCCAAGCGAAGCCGTCCAACCCCCGACGCGTTCAAGATTTATGGGTCACTGAGGATTGCTTTCTTTCAATGTACACTTTAACATGCTGGATTTATTTAATGCAGACCTCTCGGCAATGTAAACAGTTTGTAGATCTAGCAAAATATTTCCTGAATCTTCTCCCCACCCCCCACCCCATAGTGCGAGCGTGTTGTGGACAAATGGAGAAGCAAATGCTGTCGCTTCTACAGCCAAGCTGGGGGACCAGTCGTGAGCATCCAAGGAGGAACCCGGGCATCTCCTCTGCCCGTGGAAGAGGATGTCTGCCAGCAAGCAGGCACCCAATTCAAGGAGAGGCCACGGAGCGCCAGTAGGGAGGGATGGGTAAGCCCTGTGACCTGGGGCAGAGAAGGACCTGAAGGACTTGGAGTCTATTCTTTTTGGAAACTCCACAGACAGGAGTAGTAGGCCTCACAATGCCGGCTGGGTTGCGGGAGGCTCAAGGAGAGGCACCTCTTTCCTTGGGCCACCTCTTACCTTAGGCCCCTTGTCGATGTGGCTTTGCCGTGCTGGGCGGATGTTGTGTAGGAGCTGCGGCACAGCAGCGCCTGGGACAATGGCTTCAATGCCCCAGGGAAGGCTCAGGTGAGCTCCCTCCCTCTCCCTAAGGGTTGTCTCGCACAGGACCTGCTGGAAAGGTGTGGGGCAGCAGAGGGGTCTGCTGGATTGGCCCAGGAGCCCACCCCATCCAGCTCCCTACTGATGCTCACAGTCTGGCATGGGAACGTAGCCCATCCTCTCCAGCCTGGTGGGGCCCCCCTCTCTACCACCCATCCTTCCAGTGGTCCATCGCGCTCCCCGAGGCTGGAAGAACTGTGAGGAGCACAAAGGTCTTGCACCGATTCCCTGCCTTCTTCTACCAACGGTGAACAAGCAGCAACCGAAACACACACACACCCCGCCCAGAGTGAGGTGCGGGTGCACGCTGGGAAGCTTTTGAGATGCCAGCGATAGAAGCAACTCCCTTCCCAGCTACGCTTCCGAACATGATTGTTTAGAAAAGTTGTCACTTCAGACAGAAAAGTGAGCCCACTGCCTGAAGGAAGCCAGTCTGTTCTTTTCTGTCTCACTGTTTTTCTTTCCAAAAAGTGAGAAAGGAGATCCTGGGCCTGGATAAAAGTCTGGCCAGAGAGCCAGGACTCCCAGTTCAAGGCTCCAATTAGCTATAAATCACTTCTCATGCTTGCCCAGAGAGCAGAAGCTAAGAGAAAGGAGGGTCCGGCGGGAGAGATGCAGGGACCCCAAGAAAAACACGTGGGGGGGGCGTTGAAGCAAGGAATAGATCATTTTATTTGTCCTTTCTCACTTTTAACTATCGTTTTGTAAATGCCGTCTCAAATTCTCCCTGGAAACGTTTGTGGAAGTTTGGAAGAAAAGGATTCCCCTTACCATCACCAAACGTGGAATTCTACCGAGCCAAACAAGGGGGAATCCGAGAGAGTCTGACGCCTCCGCAGCCCTCGCTAAGGAAGGAACTCAATGCACACCTGCCGGCTGAATGCACGAGGTACACCTGGCCGTGCTCTCCCCCCCCCCCCCCGGCTTTGCTCTTCCTTCCTCTGCACCCCTCCTGGGCCACCGTTGTCCTGCTGGAGGATTTAGGACCAACTCAGTCCTACCTCGACCACCTCTACCGAGCCCCAAGAGTCCAGCGCCCCTTAAAGGAGACCCACGTTGCACTTCCAGGAGGCACTTTTGCCTCTTCTGGGCCTGTCCCGCAGCAGGCTTGGCCATCCGGCTCAGCACGGTCCTACTGTTGTGCCTGTGCCCCCCGCCCCCGCATGTGCTACGTTACAATTCCAGGCAGCCCCGTCTCTCACGACCGGCCAGCCGGGAGGACGCTAGGGGCTCAGCGCAGCCGCAGGTCGCCCGCCCGCCGGCCCCTGGAGCACAACTTGCCGAAGCTCTTCTTTCTCTGGCATGAGCCACGCAACCCGATCTTGAACGAGCCTAAAACCTAGGTCCTGAAGTGCAATGCCCGAAGGGGCAGAGCCATCCTCCAAGGAAAAAGGCAGAGGTTGGCACCACCTGGGCCTTGCAGCTGGCTTCCCTCACTGCCGCCTTCCTGCGGCCTCCCTGCCTAGATGCCAGGGCCAGCCCTCTCGGGGCAGGATCTGTTTTCCATGCCCCTCCGTAGACCTCCGTGTGAGAAAAAGGTGTCAGAAGAACGTGTGCCTGAAGAGATGCTTGAGGACACTCAATGGTCTGAGCTCCATCCGAGGAGTGAGTGATGAAAAAGGCAAGGGTGGCACTAGTGTGGCCCCCACCAGTTAACATGGTCCCACCAAGTTAAATAGAAAGAACTAAGCAAAGGCCCCTCAATGTCACAGAAATCCAAGGGAGGCCTCTTTGGGTGCTCCCTCCATGCCCCCATGCCCCATTTCCTCAGAAAGGAAGCCCCACTGATCTCCTTAGGACTTTCAAGCACGCTTTGGCAAAGTTCACTGCCAGCTACCATCCACCTGAATTTAAAGCTCTACTCTCTATCGAGGTCAACGAATCTCCCCTCTGGAAACTTGTCAGTGATTTACTTTAATGGTTGTTAGAAAATTACTGCAAGCAAACAGAAGGTTTTGTTTTTAAGATGAATGTGGGTAATTGATCTGAATGATCTGCAGGGTACAAAAAGGCTTGTGAATCTGGATATGGGTTAGCCTAGTTGTTCCTTAATTTTTTAAAAGAAATGGGAAATGAATAAATAAATGCAGAAATTCAATTTGAAAGTAAAAGGATATTTTCAGCAAATGGGAATAAAAATACCTGGTATCATAACCCTCCTATCTTTAGCGCTGTATCCCTCTTTAAAGAGTGAGCAACGTTGTTCAAGTCTGAACCATCCAATGTCCTTTGAAGCATTTCAAGATTAAAGTACGAAGAAGGTTTCAGCTTGAGCCATGATCTAATGGGAACATTTCTTGCAAAACTCCGCTGAGGTGAAATCACCATGAAACCTGTGCAAGGAATCTTTCCAGTGGATCATGCCCAACATAACTGAGTAATATAAACAGTGATTCACAGCCAGAAAATTGCAAACTTCAACTGGTCAATAGAACTTCAGTTTGGGATCATTGTCCGAACCTTTTAAAAACTACAAGTCTGCCTCAAGTGTAAATATATAAAACAAAGACTTGGACCCACAGGATAAGCCATTAACCGTATGAAGCCTTGGCCAGTGCTGAAAAACAAGAAAGAGTATTTCGCGGACAAAACAGTCTTTACATTATATTTCCTTAAGAAGGACCTCAGCAGAGGAGGACTTCTTCCAAATTTGCAGTGACTTGACTAGATCACATCTCCCACAGGAATTCTAAAGGAGAAACCACAGGAGATCTATTGACCAGTTTAAACAGAAAACAAAACGGAACATTTGCAGCTTTAGTTGGAGAGAACAAGGTTTGGACAATGATTTCCCCCAACGCTCATCTGGAACAACTGACATTTAGGAAGAGAAACTTTTTTCTTAGAGAAAAAGAAAAATCCGATGCAGCAAGACTGGGAGACTGAAGCCGCAAAATCCGTTTTTTGCAAGGGACCTACAAAAGGTGCAAATGGGTGTCTTGTGGTGTGGATCTCCCCCTCTGATGCAGTAATGCGATCAACTGCTTGTGCCTAGACCCCGAGGAAGCTCTGGGGGAACAGGGAGATGATACGGAGAGGAGAAGGTCTCTCGGAGTGGATTTTTCAGCATAAAAGGGGCTCCTGAGCATTCAAGCCTTTGCCAGGAAAGACGTAAGGAAGACAACTTACTTTGGTGTACTTGATTTCCAAGTTGAGAGTGGGAGAAGGCAGCAAGTGCAGAGATGCCATCAAAGCCGCCGGGTCAGCCTTCATCCCACCGGGCATCTCAATTTTGCTGGAAGTCATTGTCCCTCCTGCTTCTGCCTTTCCCGGTGCAGTTCGGTCCCCCAGTTCTCTGACTTGAAGGAGACGATGAGAGATAGACGAGAGATGAGAGAGAGAGAGAGAGATGATAGAGACAGACCGACTTTATCGGGTTTGTTCCCAGTCCCCCAAGACCAGTGCTGAAGAGTTGGCTGCTGTTCTCGGTGTCTAGGCAGGTGTTAAGGCAGCCTCTTCTTATAGGACACGGGGGCAGGGCCAAAGAGGCTGGACCGTCCTACCTAGAAGGACGAGAGAATGAAGACTCCCTGTTTACATAAGCCTCTCGGCCGCCCCCCTCGCCCAGGCTGGAGGGGGCTCCGAAGGCAACAGGTCTTCCTGGCTAAGAGTCAAGTCCAGCCAGCGTCTCTATCTCCTGGGCTCCCTCTGATCCCTGGTCGGGAGGCTGGGAACTATTTCCCCCCTCCTTACACAACTGACTCTTTCTCCCTCTCTCTCTCTCTCTCTCTCTCTCTCTCTCTCTCTCTCTCATGATAAAAGAGGCTACTGGAAGTTCA